ACTTTCGTTATGGATCTTTCTGGCGCCCTTCCTTTCATGAAGTTAACGTTGAGGCGCTGATCTCCATCTTGGTTTCCATACCATAATAAGGATTTCCTTGTTGTACAGACAGAGTAACCAGTAGTACCATGGCAAGCTTCAAGTGTAGTCTCCTGTTTCCTATCCACAGGTGGGTCTTATTTTTCAGCCACGAAAAGAAGAAAGACGAGTGCCCACGCCTAGTTCGAACCCGGAACTTCTTGGCTCTGAATTCTACGTTCCAATGTTCAGCCAATCCAGGTCTTAAGTATATTCCATATTCAAGGGAATTTTTGGATGAAGCAGGAACTGCCCTCCATTGGAATCGAACCTCGCAGATCGTCTGTTGTTTGTTGACATCATCACACTCAGTCATTTGCATAAGCAGAACGTTTCTGGTTTGTGATGTCCATGAATCAAATGCAACCTTGAAGTCGAGGAAACTGCCAAATCAAAACAACTTCAATCGTCGAAGACATTGGTCAGTGATTCTCCGCAGTGAAAGTCTTGTTGGAGCAGGGGTACACAATCCGGAAGCATGATCGAAGTAGCATGTTTCCACGGTAATTGGATCACTCGGTCACCTGAATCCCTTTAAATATGGAGACAATTGCTTCAGACTTCCGTTCTACAGGGAAACGTTTAGTGATTCTCATTTGATAAAATAGGGAATGGAGCTTTTCTGCTTTCCCGTTCCACCCTACTTAATAAACCTCGGAGGAATTCGATCCACCCTCAGGTCTTCTTCACCTTGATGTGTAGCAATGGGGTTTTCTATTTCCCTGGATCTGTACTAATCTTTCATGTTTGCAGAGGTTCAACAGTCAAGAATCACGAGTCTGTCGCTGAGCAACTGCTGAAAATGCTCAACCCATCGTTTTACACGTTCCTTATGACTTGCTAATCCACGGCAGGTCAGAATTTAATTTAGCATCCTGACTTAGCGTTTTGGATAAGAGTGAATCTGGTCTCCTGCTTACTGGACAACCATCACGCCAGTTTGAACACTGTTCCTCGGTCACTCTTTCGGTCACTTTCATCGACGTCGTCATTTTCATACTGGACACTAAGGGTGACATTATAAAATATCTCTCTACCTCATTTTAGTAGGCCATCCGCCCCGTTTCGTCATGTTTCACAGCCTGACAACATCGATCAGCTGATGTGTTCAACCAGACTACGTCGATGCGACATGACTGACTTTACACAAGGCTCTGCTACAAACATAGGAAGGCCCAGTGCGGGTGGTGATCAGACAACCCA